ACTCACTCATACTTTTTTGTAGCCCTTCAAGTGTATAATTTAGAACTATAAAGCACCTGTATTTACCTGTATTTACATGTATTTACCTGTATTTACCTGTATTTACCTGTATTTACCTGTATTTACATGTATTTACCTGTATTTTCCTGCATTTACCCATATTTACCTGTATTTACCTGTAATTACCTGTATTTACCTGTATTTACCTGTATTTACATGTATTTACCTGTATTTACCTGTATTTACCTGTATTTACCTGTATTTACATGTATTTACCTGTATTTTCCTGTATTTACCCGTATTTACTTGTATTTACCTGTATTTACATGTATTTACCTGTATTTACCTGTATTTACCTGTATTTACCTGTATTTACATGTATTTACCTGTATTTTCCTGTATTTACCCGTATTTACCTGTATTTACCTGTAATTACCTGTATTTACCTGTATTTACCCGTATTTACCTGTATTTACCTGTATTTATCTGTATTTACCTGTATGTACCTGTATTTACCTGTATTTTGGCAAGGGAACTTCGAGATACTCTAATTTACTTTGTTTTAACATTTTTCCAGAGACTTTTTCATAGAAATATCTGAGCATAGAGTTGGTTAGAGTTGATGAGCTATCCGAACCCAAGATATTCTCCAGTCCGGCCTTTCCACCCCCAGATGGAATAGTGGACACAATAGGTATAATTCACGCTAAATCTAAAGGAGATTTTAAGGTTTTTGAATTACTTTATCCTATTTTTATATGCTTTGTGAATTCAAACATCTGTGCATCTTAAAATAGAGATTATAACCCACCAAGGTTATAGTATATATACTTATGTGTTCGCTGAATCTTTGCTAATCGTACAGGCCATGCACTACACTTTCAAAGGGTATGTTACGGTACTTTTGGCACTCGGGACTAACCAGAGTGAAAAGCATTCGGTTTCTTTTATTTGAAATTAAACGTGTTTTTTGTCAATAATTCAATAATCTTTAAACTCACGGATTTATTTATTTTATACCTTTTTATTCAAAACGTATATACGCAAAAAAGTATTTGTGAAAAAAAGATAACAAATTATGTATAATGGGTTAAATGTTGATGGAAAGTCACAGTTTTCTGAAATATTGACATTTTAACAATTCGAAAGAATTCATCAAATGTCGTATTCTTCTCTTTTTGATAATGGAATGTTGCAGATATTTAGTTTTTTAATTAAATGATTATATGGAACTCTTTATAACTGTTCCCGTATATTAATGGCTATTTATTTATTTTCCAAAATACTGAAATTTACGTAATATAGTATAAAACTCATTGAAACATTGTCAAGACGACATTTGATAAATTCTTCCGATGTATTCGTTATTAAGGGGGATCACTGTAGTTAAACTGAGTATGCAGTGTTAACGATAAATTCTTTAGGATTCATTTAATACATATAAAACGTTTCCACGATGTATGATTACTGAGTTTAACTGCATAGTCGACGTTCAAATTCATGAATTCGGGTGAGTACGTTTTCAGGAACGTTTTTTTTTAATTATTAAATAACGACGACGAAAAATAAAGTAGAAATTATACAGTAAACTAATTAGATGTTTATGAACATATTTCTCAAAAGAAATTTGTCAATAAATCAATGCCAGAAATAGAATCAATTATTTCGTTTTCATCATTATATTGAATTTGTTCGCAGATTTCTACAAATTCTTCAAATGTCGTCTTTTCAAGAAAAATTTTAATAAAAATAATAATTGAAGAAGATTACTTATTTTCGATGGTAAGATTAATTTTTTTTCTCAACCTGTTCCTTAACAACTAATTAGTTTACAGTAGAATTTACATTTTTAGTCGTCGTTATTTAATAATTTAAAAACAATTCTGAAAACGTATCTCCCCTCTAGGATTTACAGATCTTTAAAAAGTTTTATTTATCTCAAATGAATCCTAAAGAATTTGTCCACAACACTGCATACTCAGTTCAACTACCTTAAATAGCCGGTCTGTCCCTTTAAGTACCCGGACTCACTACGGAATGATTAATCTAATTTTATTTATTTGTTTCAAGGAGCCGGGGACACGTTTAATGCAACTATTATTGGTTGTATTTCTCAGGGTTGGGAGTTAGATAGATGCCTTCTCTTAGCCTGTCAGGTTGGATTTAATCATTATTCATATCCATACTTACTTTTTTTCACAGAGCAACAAAAGTTATAATATTACAAATTAAAAAACTCTCAGCAATAATTCTGTATTGGAAGAGGGTAATGGCAGTACATTGAACAGGTTGTAAAATGGCAGTGCATTGTACAGGTTGTAAAAATGGCAGTACATTGTACAGGTTGTAAAATGGCAGTACATTGTACAGGTTGTAAAATGGCAGTACATTGTACAGGTTGTAAAATGGCAGTGCATTGTACAGGTTGTAAAATGGCAGTACATTGTACAGTTGTATAAATGGCAGTACATTGTATAGGTTGTATAATGGTAGTACATTTTAAAGGTTGTAAAATGGCAGTACATTGTACAGGTTGTAAAATGGCAGTACATTGTACAGGTTGCCTAGTATATTCTGTGTCAGGAACTGGCCAAAGTTCAAAATCGGACCAAAGAGAAATCTCCAAATACAACAAATGAGATTTTACGATCTGGAATTACAGCGGATTTTAATATTTACATAACTATTAAGCTAAACTCTTAGATACAAAAGTTTCAATTTATATCTAAGTAGTTGTTCTCCGTTTTATTTAAAAGTTTCTTACTCTGAATAAGCTATGCATATATTAAGTATTATATAAAGATGTATAAACTATGTATGAAGGTTGCTGGGAGGAAGGTTGGTATCAGAGGATTCAAGGGTTTACGAGAACTCACTCCATCCGTCCTGAGAAATTAGAATCCGTCCTGAGAAACTCCAAGCTTTTGTAACATTTAGAATTATAAAGAATCATTTGAGATGTAATTAATAAATATCATATTTTATAAAAAAATAAGACAGGAAGTTTGTAGGAGGAATGTACAGGGTGTCCCAAAAAACATGGGAATTCAGTAACGAATTCGATATCGTCTTTGTTATGAATTAGCATTGTAATACCTAATTTCAAAAGCTATAATATTATTATGTCTGCTAGAGTTTATTTTATAAAAAGGGTAAAAAACTGTGAAGATTTGTCTATAATGTCTCCGCAAGATGTACAGTGAAGATGGACAAGTTTACTCTGTTTGTATACTGTAATTTTCTTGTTTTACAAATTACAACCGTATGCAGTCAAAACATTAACAAACAAAATGTGAACATACGGGGTGTCCCACGAAACATGTCAGTTTGTGAATTAGTTTAGAATGTCTTCCTCCATAATATGTTGAGTTGTTTGATACCAAAGAC